ACCGCTTGCCTCTGCATGCCTCTGCATGCCTCTACTATCCTCTGCTGTCCCCTCCTGATAACTGCTGACCACCCCTGATACTTTCGACAACGTATAATGATTCCTGCTTGCCCCAGCTGGTCTCCGCTTGCCTCTGGATGCCTCTGCATGCCTCTACTATCCCCTGCTGTCCCCTGCTGTCCCCTGCTGTCCCCTGCTGACCCCTGCTGACCCCTGCTGACCACTGCTGACCACCCCTGATACTTCCGACAACGTATAATGATTCCTGCTTGCCCCAGCTGGTCTTCGCTTGCCTCTGCATGCCTCTGCATGCCTCTGCAGGCCTCTACTATCCCCTGCTGTCCCCTGCTGACCACTGCTGACCATTGCTGACCACCCCTGACCCCCTAACAACTTCTGCCATGATATATATGTATTAAAACATTGTATAATGTAAATCTATTGCAATAAATGATATAATTACAAAGAATTCTATGTCTTCTCATCATTTCTTACCTTTCTTTTCCTCTTCAAATCATTACCTTAGTTATAAGACTCCCAGAAACTCCTTGCTTGATTTCCCTGAACCCCTTTCTAAGTACTGAAACAGCTGGAAAGTCCTGAAACAGCTGGAAAGGCCTGAAACAGCTGTTTCAGGACTTTTTAGCTGTTTCAGGACTTTCCAGCTGTTTCAGGCCTTTTCGTTGTTTCAGGACTTTTTAGCTGTTTCAGGACTTTCCAGCTGTTTCAGGCCTTTTTCGGTGTTTCAGGACTTTTTAGCTGTTTCAGGACTTTCCAGCTGTTTCAGGCCTTTTTCGTTGTTCCAGGACCTTTTAGCTGTTTCAGGACTTTCCAGCTGTTTCAGGCCTTTTTCGTTGTTCCAGGACTTTTTAGCTGTTTCAGGACTTTCCAGCTGTTTCAGGTTTTTTCGGTGTTTCAGGCCTTTTTCGTTGTTTCAGGACTTTCAATCTGTTTCAGGACTTTCCAGCTGTTTCAGGACTTTTTCGGAAATCGGCAAAATTTTCGAGCAAAAATTTTTTGACGAAAAAAATGAATTCTCGATTTTGCCAACAGGTACGAGAGTGACGGTTAGAGAAAAAAAATTTAAAAGTTAATTTTTAATTTTGGCAGCAAGTACGAGAGCTGGACACTTTGCGAATCCAATTTTAATCGGAAAAACGGTCTCTTAAAACTAAGGCAATGATTTGGAGAGGAAAAGGAAGGTAAAAATGATGAGAACACAGAATTCTGTTAAATTATATCATTTATTGCCATAAATTCACATTATACAAGGCTTGAATACTTATACATCATGTCAGAAGTTGATAACAAAGGTCAGCAGTGGTCAGCAGTGGTCAGCAGGGGTCAGCAGGGGTCAGCAGGAGACAGCAGGGGATAGTAGAGGCATCCAGAGGCATGCAGAGGCATGCAGAGGCAAGCGAAGACCAGCTGGGGCAAGAAAGAATCATTGTACGTTGTCGGAAGTATCAGGGGTGGTCAGCAGTGGTCAGCAGGGGCCAGCAGGGGCCAGCAGGGGTCAGCAGGGGTCAGCAGGGGTCAGCAGAGGTCAGCAGGGGTCAGCAGGGGACAGCAGGGGATAGTAGAGGCATCCAGAGGCATCCAGAGGCAAGCGGAGACCAACTGGGGCAAGCAGGAACCATTACACGTTGTCGGAAGTATCAGGGGTGGTCAGCAGTGGTCACCAGAGAACAGCAGGAGATAGTAGAGGCCTGCAGAGGCATGCAGAGGCAAGCGGAGACCAGCTGGAACAAGCAGAAATCATTATACGTTGTCGGAAGTATCAGGGGTGGTCAGCAGGGGACAGCAGGGGATAGTAAAGGCATGCAGAGACATGCAGAGGCAAGCAGAGACCAACTGGGGCAAGCGGGAATCATTATACGTTATCGAGAATATCAGGGGTGGTCAGCAGTGGTCAGCAGTGGTCAGGAGGGGACAGCAGAGGATAGTAGAGGCATGCAGAGGCATGCAGAGGCAAGCGGAGACCAACTGGGGCAAGCGCGAATCATTATACGTTATCGAAAGTATCAGGGGTGGTCAGCAGTGGTCAGGAGGGGATAGTAAAGGCATGCAGAGACATGCAGAGGCAAGCAGAGACCAACTGGGGCAAGCAGGAATCATTATACGTTGTCGAAAGTATCAGGGGTGGTCAGCAGTGGTCAGGAGGGGACAGCAGGAGATAGTAGAGACATGCAGAGGCATGCAGAGGCATGCGGAGGCAAGCAGAGGCATGCAGAGGCAAGCAGAGGCAAGCAGAGGCATGCAGAGTCAAGCGGAGACCAGCTGGGGCAAGCAGGAATCATTATACGTTGTCGGAAGTATCAGGGGTGATCAGCAGAGGCCAGCGGAGGCCAGCAGTGGCAAGCAGGGGAGAGCAGAGGCCTGCAGAGGCATGCAGAGGCAAGCGGAGAACAACTGGGGCAAGCACGAATCATTATACGTTGTCGAAAGTATCAGGGTTGGTCAGCAGTGGTCAGGAGGGGACAGCAGGGGATAGTAGAGGCATGCAGAGGCATGCAGAGGCAAGCGGAGACCAGTTGGGGCAAGCGCGAATCATTATACGTTATCGAAAGTATCAGGGATGGTCAGCAGGGGACAGCAGGGGATAGTAGAAGCATGCAGAGGCAAGCAGAGACCAACAGGGTCACGCAGGAATTATTATACGTTGTCGGAAGTATCAGGGGTGGTCAGCAGTGGTCAGGAGGGGACAGCAGAGGATAGTAGAGGCATGCAGAGGCATGCAGAGGCAAGCGGAGACCAACTGGGGCAAGCGCAAATCATTATACGTTGTCGGAAGTATCAGGGGTGGTCAGCAGAGGCCAGCGGAGGCCAGCAGAGGCCAGCAGTGGCAAGCAGGGGAGAGCAGAGGCCTGCAGAGGCCTGCAGAGGCATGCAGAGGCAAGCGGACACTAGCTGGGACAAGCAGGAATCATTATACGATGTCGGAAGTATCAGGAGTGGTCAGCAGTGGTCAGGAGGGGACAGCAGAGGATAGTAGAGGCATGCAGAGGCATGCAGAGGCAAGCGGAGACCAACTGGGGCAAGCGCGAATCATTATACGTTATCGAAAGTATCAGGGGTGGTCAGCAGTGGTCAGGAGGGGATAGTAAAGGCATGCAGAGACATGCAGAGGCAAGCAGAGACCAACTGGGGCAAGCAGGAATCATTATACGTTGTCGAAAGTATCAGGGGTGGTCAGCAGTGGTCAGGAGGGGACAGCAGGAGATAGTAGAGACATGCAGAGGCATGCAGAGGCATGCGGAGGCAAGCAGAGGCATGCAGAGGCAAGCAGAGGCATGCAGAGTCAAGCGGAGACCAGCTGGGGCAAGCAGGAATCATTATACGTTGTCGGAAGTATCAGGGGTGATCAGCAGAGGCCAGCGGAGGCCAGCAGTGGCAAGCAGGGGAGAGCAGAGGCCTGCAGAGGCATGCAGAGGCAAGCGGAGAACAACTGGGGCAAGCACGAATCATTATACGTTGTCGAAAGTATCAGGGGTGGTCAGCAGTGGTCAGGAGGGGACAGCAGGGGATAGTAGAGGCATGCAGAGGCAAGTAGAGACTAACTGGGGCAAGCAGGAATCATTATACGTTGTCGGAAGTATCAGGGGTGGTCAGCAGTGGTCAGGAGGGGACAGCAGAGGATAGTAGAGGCATGCAGAGGCAAGCGGAGACCAACTGGGGCAAGCAGGAATTATTATACGTTGTCGAAAGTATCAGGGGTGGTCAGCAGGGGACAGCAGGGGATAGTAGAGGCATGCAGGGGCATGCAGAGGCCTGCAGAGGCATGCAGAGGCCTGCAGAGGCAAGCAGAGGCATGCAGAGGCAAGCGGAGACCAGCTGGGGCAAGCAGGAATCATTATACGTTGTCGAAAGTATCAGGGGTGATCAGCAGTGGTCAGCAGAGGCCAACGGTGGCCAGCGGAAGCCAGCGGAGGCCAGCCGTGGCCAGCCGGGGCCAGCAGAGGCCTGCGGAGGCTAGCGGAGGCCAGCAGAGGCCTGTGGAGGCTAGCGGAGGCCAACAGTGGCAAACAGTGGCAAGCAGAGACCAACAGGGGCAAGTAATAGCAAGTTGTAATCGTTATACGTTGTCAGTAGTAACAGGAGTGGTCAGCAGTGGTCAGCAGGGGCCAGCAGGAGCCAGCAGGGGCCAGCAGTGGTTAGCAGAGGCATGCAGGGGCAAGCGGAGACCAGCAGGGACAAGCAGTAATCGTTATACGTTGTCGGAAGCATCAGCAGTGGTCAGCGGAGGCCAGCGGAAGCTTGCGGAGGCCTGCGGAGACCAGCAGAGGCCAGCGGAGGCCAGCGGAGACCTGTGGAGGCCAGCAGTGCCAAACAGTGGCAAGCAGAGACCTGTAGGGGCAAGCAATAGCAAGTTGTAATCGTTATACGTTGTCAGAAATATAAACGGTGGTCGGCAAAGGCCAGCGGAAGGTAGTAGAAGCCGGGGGACGTTGTCAGTAGCCCGTAGGATTCGTTATGCGTTGTCAGAAGTATCGGGTGTGGTTAGCAGCGGTCAGCAGAGGCCAGCGGAGGTCTGTAGGAAAATACAAAAGTATATGTAGTCGTACCTTATACGTCGTATTTTTTACCTTATACTTCAGGTAAAAAGAGGTATAACTGGGTAAAACAGTTTTATGACGTTACCTGTTAACTCAAGTTACTGTTCTAAAATAAAAGGCTATGTTTGTACCTGAAAAAATATTCGTCTATATCCTTTTAAAATTTATAATCCGACCTATACTTTAATTTATACTTTAATTAATTTCTGTAACAATTAATTCTTCTGTTTTGTTCATATTATAAAAATACGAACACTTCTTATTGAAAAATGCTACAGCGTGCACGATACTGGCAAAGAGTGTACTCTCGTTTTAATTTATTTACTTTCAATCTCAAAGTATCTTGATTTTGAAAACTCGTGGTAATAATATACGTATGTACGCTCATACATAGGAATAGGAGAAAGAGGACATGTGTCAGTTTACCTTTGTCGATTCTCCGAAACTCGTCCGAGCTCACGTACGCGTGATCTGGCATAGTGTGAGAAAGTGGAATGAGGTGCACCCGGTGCACCGTCTGGCATCTCTGGATGGACGTGATCAACGTGACCGCTAAATAGCGTCTCGTTGAACGATGACATCCATCGTTGACCCGTTTTGGAAAATTCTGGAGACGTCGAGCATATCTGTACGCATTTACGAACAAACTTTAAGGGACCGAACTGTCCTATGCGCGCGAGCGCGAGCACGCGATAAGCGCGGCCATTTTCACGTTATTTTTTGTACAAACGTATAACGCCGCACCTATTAGGCCACGTCAAAATTAACTTTAATCAATTTAAACGTCGTTACGCTGTGCAACTATTCCTTTTCGGATGGTCAGGATGCAGCGAAGAAAAATGTGAAGAATGCACTACGATTGGCTACGTCGGTACATCGAGGCCGTATGACAAAGGCGATACCACTCAGCTCGAGTACTATTTTTATTCCAGTTTTTAACCTCGACCGACACGCTCCCGAAAATGTCATTCGAAGGAAAGTACAATGCGAAAAGTCCCGGTAAGTCGGTCCCAGAAAACGAAATTCTATACGTTCGATCATGCCAGGATTCCGCCAACAACACACAGTAGACTTGCAATATTTTTACGAGTTTTCCTTCTTTTCCATTTATTGAAAACCATTATCTTTGAACGTTAAGTATACGTTATCTCGCGCTACATATCTCCAAGCAGTCTCTTCCAATATGTAACGTTTAAATAAATCAATCACTTATAGTTAATCAAAAATATTAATTCTAATTTGATAATTGCCTTTTATCGGTGCAAACAATATTATGTTAGACTTATATCGATCATCAAATGTCATTTAACAAAATTCCAGCTGTGAAAAGATTAATGAGAGAGGCTCAGGAGCTTTATGAAGCAACCGAGGAATATTATGCATCACCATTGGAAGACAATCTGTTTGAATGGCATTTTACAGTACAAGGACCACCTTCCACAGATTTTGAAGGTGGTGTTTATCATGGCAGAATCTTGTTGCCACCAGAATATCCTATGAAACCCCCAAATATTATATTGTTAACGGTAAGTGATTATAACTTAAAACATATTTTAATATCTGTTTTTCAATGATCTAGCATAATGCCAGATAAACATCTACTTTTGCATTTGCATTAAGAAAATTTGCAAGTATACAACACATTTTTCCAGCCAAATGGTCGGTTTGAAATCAACACAAAGATATGCCTCAGTATTTCTGGACATCATCCTGAAACATGGCAGCCCTCTTGGAGTATTAGAACAGCTCTGTTGGCCTTGATTGCTTTCATGCCAACACCAGGAAACGGGACAATTGGTTCTTTAGATTATAGTAAAGAAGAAAGGCAGAAACTAGCAAAAAAGTAATTTATATAAGTTGTAAATTGTATAGACTCTGGAAAAGATTCTTTCATTGCAGATCATTGAATTGGCAGTGTGACACTTGTGGAAAGGTTGTCAACTTGTTATCCAAAACTACAGTCAAAAAACCTATCACGGAAGAGGAACAAACTATGTTAAATACGATTGCCTTAAAGGTAATTTTATAATCGAATTATGGTATCGGAATGATAATGCAACAAATACAGTGACCGTAATAGCCGTAAATTTGCTTAATTATGACGTGTAAGGCTGTTCAAGAAATCATATTTTCAGGCCGACGATTCACCGACATCCGAGACATTTCTCATGGATAACGAAGACGGTATTTCAGTCGATGAATTGAGGCGACGTATGACCATTGACACAACTTGTACCGAGAATCAAGATCGGCAACAATCAGACATAATACTAAACCAACAAATAGAGACAATGTCATTTTCTAACGATTTATTCTGGAACATTCTTATTGCTTCCTTGGTGTCAGCGATAATTCTACTTGTTTTGAGACGACTGTTTCTTGTTTAAATTAATCTAAATGTAACACATTTTACGGATAGCTTTTTTAAACATAGAGAAAAACAACAGATTTATACACGCTAACAATAATCTGATTTCCATAAAAACACAATATATGGCAGAGATATGACTGCACTGATATATCCACTTTAGTACATATCTACCTTGATCCTACAGAGGATATTCATTTTACTGTAAAAATTGTTTTTGTTACTTGGAAACAATGTAAATTCAAAATCTTAATTCCATTGTTATTATTTTTCATCGGCTGTATTCACTAGTCTTTGAGATTTTTTTTTATATATATATATATATATATATATATATATTATACATATACTCACACTGTTAATCTTTAGTATTATAAATGTTACTGCTTGCATTTAGTATATATATGTATATGTACTTCATTTGTATTCAATTACTTTTATAATAATTATTATTTTATAGTTCCATATCAATTAACCCAATATAACATAAAATCGTATTGCTTTCACAAACATCAACTATATTTGCAAAAACTGCCAAATATGAAGCAAAATTTATTTCATAACATAACAAAGAACCAGCTTCTGTCAAAATATGTTTTAATTTTATGTTGCTATGGTCTTGAAATACTCGCGTATTTTTTCTCTAATCGTTTATGTAATTGTAGATAATTCTTACAATAGAACTGTATATAACATAAAAATTTAATATAAGTTACATGATCAATTCATTATGTTGTATTTCGCAAAACTGTGCACATGAAAAGTAAAATATACACCAGTGTAAAAAAATCCCCGTGTGTAATTGCAATACAAACATAATACCACTAATTTTATTAATATAAATTAATAAATTCTTTCGTCGCGAACAACATTTTTTAAATGTATTCTGTACATTGAATTGATACAATATTTACGGAATGTTTAATCTCGTAATTAAAAAGGTACATTAATAAATGCATATGTATGTACTTAAATGGAGGCACCTATATTAAATTTCGATATGTACTCAGGTTTGAACAAAGGTTAGGAAGAAACGATTGCACCATCGACGTAAGAAAATATTATCAATAACTAATTAAAACTTTGTATCATTACCACGGGACCATATGGAACCAATTTCATTACACCTGTGTGCGATGTTCTTTTAACCTACACACACTTACAATTCACACGGTGTTAATCAAACATACAAAGAGACATTCATGTATGCAGAAAGTACAAATATCTTTTCTATTGGTTTTTGCATGCATGTAGAAATGTAATAAATCAACTGTTTATTAAAACATATTAGTATTAATACACGCATAATAATGTTATCACTTTCACGTTCAACTTCTTTATACTCGTTAAAAGTCGATTAAACGATAGATCGATATATTTCTAGAATGTCCGTTAATGATCTGAATCATAGATAAAAATCTGTACGTCGCAAGGTGCGTAATATTATTATTATTATTATTTAATAATATTAACGAAATTTATTACCGTGATCGTATATAAAATTGTTGCTAAATAAAGGGATAACTGGTACAATGATAATATCTGTGTTTAATACGTAAGCAAATAATGTATAGTGTTCATTTTTACATATTGCAAATTGACAATGACAATGAACGTCTGTACATAAAATATAAACAATGTCATTTAGATTATTAATGCTAGGCGCAGATAAAGATATTTTTAAAGCCAACAATGATAAATTTTGTTTACAATTTCAAGATTGATACAATAATTTAAAATTATCCTTACAATTTAATTATCCATATAATGCCATTAATACGTCGAATCGATTATAAAAATCAGCCATATAATTAATTTAAAGTAGCTGGTTAATCAAGCAAAGTTAGACACATGAGTGTAACTTACGCAAAATGATCATTGTGGTAGAAAGTAGTAGCCATGAGGAGACTTAATACTGAAAACACTTTTGGTCCCTATTATTTCAGAGCACTTAAAATTTTCGAATAAACGCTTTTAGCATAAACATTTGTTAAATAAATATTTGACGATCAATTTAAATACTTTATTTTATATGCTATTAAATCGAAATAAATAAAAAGGCATTTTAAGATCAAAGTTGATAAATTTCCAACCAGAACTACGACATTAATGCCAACATTACTTGACTGTTATACAATAAATATTGTATCCATCTTTTATCTTTGATATAGAGACAGATTGCAAGCGTTTTATAATTTTTTGTTGTTCTTGTTTCAAGCACCTTTTTCATTATTTTCAAACCGAACAATACATATGAAACTATTTATGTACGTACAGGACACGTGTTATACTTAAATTAGTAACATAGGTATTATAATGTCAAACCACATACGTTTTGCACAACTAATATTTCTGTGCGTTTATCATGCAATTAAAATTTAATGTTTCGGCATTTAATATTTCCGACAGACGCGAATGAATTTTCGGAGTGTAAAATAAACGATGACGATAGACGGAATCTATAAATTGTATACGTAGCTATGGCACGGCGTTATTAACATGCTGCGCCATTATTATTATCTTCATTATCATTAACTACCTGCGCTACTGCCGCATACATTTTGATTCACTCGAAAATTATTCATAAGGTAATAATCTTAAATTTAATTATGCAATTATAACGGAGGTATACCCGCGAATGTAATGCAATCAAAGTTTCAAACAGCATGTTAGCAGTTATGAATTTCATATTTTTTTTTTGTTTTTGTATCTATTGTAAGGCAGCCTATTTCGGTCTTAAAATTCATTTACTTCATTAATCGACAGTCTATCTAAACTTGTAACCTAATTACCTCGTAATAATTTAACCACAGTAGAAACATGTTTTGTACACTCAAATATGTATTAACATTAACATTACACCAGCACCACCTCGTGTTCTGTTTGCTTCCTTGTTTCAATCTTCCAGAGATTCGAGAGATTTCACTGTGACTAGATTTACAAATAGACTATGTGATAATCTTTCTTTTATAAAATACAATTAATTTAAGATATACTAAGCTCTGAAAGAAATTTTTCCCCCAAAAGAAGCCGCTTTTTTAAAATTCCGTTTGCAAAAAATATATTGCATTGATAGCACCTGATGCATTTTAATTAATTTTCTTTTTTTTTTTTTTTCTTTTAACTTTTTCCCCTATCTAAGTTAAATCGTGAACAGTAGACTTTACAAACATAAGAATTTACACTGTCGCATACATGATATGCATGTATTTAACCGTTTGAAGCACAGCTGGCCATTTATATAAAATTTCTTTATACTATTCTCATGGAAAAAAATAAAAAAATTCGTGAAAGAAATTTTATTATATATGCGCTATTTATGTGCTTCAAAAGATTAAAATAATACGTTATAATACTATGAATTAATGTTTCTACAAAAGAAGATGAGATCAGTGTCTTTCAAAGTACATAAATTTTAATATCAAACTTGTAATCTTGGAGCAAAGTATGAACTTCTGGAATAAAATGACAAAATGGAACATAATGATCATTAATAGGAAGAAAGTTATTGTCCTGCGGAAGTTATATAAAATGAGAATATAGATAGTTGAGAATAAAAAATTTTTCGTGAAATACTTTGAAAGGACATAATTAGGGTAGAATGAAAAATGCATTAAGAGAAAGAAACGGTTTAAAAATGTGCAACATTGCAAATGTTTCGTTCAGAACTGAGTAACAAAAGTATATCCGTTTTTTACTTCTGTAAGACTTATATACATATGTTATAATATAAAAAATTCTTCGTTTGAATCATTGGCATTTTCTTCTATAATAAATTTATGAAAGGTATTCTCAGTAATATACCTTCCTATTAAAATGTTAATTATGCTAAGTTATACACGTATGTATATATTCTTTGAAACAATATAAATATATCTTCATATTGTTTCAACAATACAAATATTGAAACAGTAGAATCTTTTTCTTTGTCTTCTAAAAGTATTTCATACTCTTTTAATTCCGTTGTGTACCCTTTCTTTATAATACAAAAATACAAACAATCCTGTTAATTGTAAATACATTATTTATCAGCTAGTACTAGTCCATTCGCCTGTCTCTTGTAATGCTCTATCTGTTAATCTTTCTATCTCAGTCAATAACTGTTCAGTCTCTAAATCAACACATACCATATCTGCTTCAACCGGATCCCATTCTAAACTATTTGGTGTAGACACCCTAGACCAAGGAGATGCCGTCAAACTAGAGGGCTGACTATTGTTCACCGACGTTTGGGTCATAGAACCATCGTTACTCTCCGCAATTTCATCATCCACAACTGGTACAGCTAATCCTAAAAAATACCAATACTCTTCTATCGCGTTCCCTTTATGTTCGTAGAACGTAGTTTCGGACCAATTACCTTCGTGTTCCCATTCTAGATCTAACGAAGACCCGGGAGTAGAGGAAACGCATGCTTGTTGTTTCATTAATGTCCTTGCATCAAGAACTTGAAGCGGTGTATCCAACCCAGAACTAATAAATTATTTCAATGTGTGTGTGTTTTTTTTTTATTACAGAGTTGATATTTATAAACATATCACATTACTCGAGGTAATCATCGTACCTTGTAGAAGCATTGTTCCTAGACTTTAATCTGGCATATTTATTAGTACCCTTTGACCAACCCCCATCTTCCAACAATTCCAATGTTACAGGAACTCCATGTTTCTTCTACAAATACATTACAAGTACAATTGCTGAATACAATTGTCATAAAGATTACATGAATTTTATCCAATATACAGTAGTAGTGCCCACTTAATTGTCCGCGCTCGGGACCGACCGCGGTCCTGGGCATGGTTACTTCTCAGAACTCAACGGAGATAAGGAAAGAGGATAAGTGCGAGTGAGATACAATAGCCGGCACCCGAAACCATATACGCAATATATCGATAACGACTGGTGTCAAGTTACGCTCGACACGCTCGATGTTCGAAGCCGCTTGGCTTCCAAGAATTGATGCCAGCGGAGATAACCGCGGACACTTAAGTAGCCACTACTGTAGTTAACTGTACCAACAAGAAATCTTGGAAGTGGTATATTGCAATTGAGAATAATTTACATTATGCAGATAGACTTACTATTCGCAATAAAATAATATATAAAAATCCTGATAATCTAATCCATTTACCTTGAATCGATTTAAGGAGAGAAACGATAACAGGCTATCCAGGAAGCATAACAATGAAGCGTATAATTAATACAATAAAAAAAGTGAAACACTGCCCAAAAGCTCAACTCAATTCCTTACGTTTTTGATCCTCTAGATTGGTCTGCATCTCCTTTGTCATCCATAAACTACAAAGAAATGGATAAGTTATAATTATCCCTCCACTGCATTGATAAACAAAAAATTACATGGAATGATTTTTTAGAAAGGACATGGAACTTGATCATCTTTAGATTTATGGGTAATTGCACCAAGCCTTCTTAAAAAATCATCCTCTGTATATTGTTATTACAAGCTATAAGACATTTTATTTGTTACTGATGTCATTGTTCGTATGATGAAGTTTTTATATACCTCAACTTGTTCGTCTCCTTGGAAAGACATGCTGGTGTGCCTTTGGTAAAACCTTAAATTTAAAGGTGTTCAGCGTCAGAAAACAAAAGACGTACATATAACGCGGAGAAAGCATAAATATGTTACGTGAAATTTCTCGGAATAGCAGGAGTGTAGCGTGTGAATACGAATACAGGATTTCTTGGGAAACCCTTATTTCAAAACAATTCGGATATGTCTAACCTGTACGACAAGGAGTCTGTAACTTTGGAAATGCAGCGGCCGAAACAGGCCCCCATGACCTGTTAACACACGGCGTACCGCCGTCATCTAACTGATATAGGCGTTCAAATATCAGTATTTAACTCCACGTGATACGTGAAAGATAATAGTCAAAAAGGCGGCCCTCCGCACAAAACTGCAGAAATATCAAACGTGACTCATCGTTGTCGAATACGAGCGCACGGAGCGTCTGTCAGTTGCATACTCGCATGCACTGATGCAGTGTCACTAGTGTGGCCAGATCTGGCATAATCGAGTGCATCGAAATCGACGTTAGTAACGACGAACTTCCTTAGCGTCTAACGGAGTGGTGGGGCACGGTAACGTGCACGTTATTCTTTTTTCCAATATTCCAATTATTTTGTTATGTAAAGTTAGTATGTCAAATAAATAACATTTGATTCTGTGTAATAAATTGATGCGGTTATTGAAAAACAGCGGGAAATGACAATATTAATTTATTTCTGTAGCAATTCGTTCTCCTATTTAGATTGTTACAGCGTGCACGTACAGGACATAAGACTTAAATGTAAAGTTTAGACGCAATCATGTTAATGGCATACGAATTTCCGCTAAAAAAAATTTTTGAAATTTTTTTTATTATGGTACCACCACAGACGAGGTATATACGAGAGACCCTACACCATATGGACTTTCATGGCCCAATCTGACTGCCATACCGACCTGAAAATTCGGAGAAGATTTTAGCGTCCTCTTCTCATGGATGGCGGTCAGTTGAGAAACTATTCACTGAATTAGTATTGATAGGCAAACAGCTGTAGTGTTTCGAATGACACGAAAATGGTAATGGGGTTTCGAGACCCCATAAAAATGGGTCAAAAGAATCCATTGGGTGAAAGATCTACCTGTATACCTTGTCTGTGACAATACTCTAGAATCTTTGATGAATCAATGAGAACCAAAACTAACCTAACGAAGAAGCTCTATATTCATGATAACCTATGCAAGGCGGATCGCAGCCAATTTGCTAATATTATTTAGTTTTTAATTAATAATTGCATCACCCAACTAAGAGCGATACGATTATTAATTAAACGTTAAATAATATTACCCGGGTCTCACCACGAGGAGGTTGCTGCGGAGTGGAGACCCAAAGGGACATAGATGGAATCGAAGTTCCATCGATCTCCCTTTTAGCTAAGCTTAGCTAGATTACTAAACTAGAGAGATAGAAGGAAGCAATGTTATTAAAAAGGGGTGAAGGTATATTGTGGGATATGCAACGCGATGTCGATCAGCAATGATCGACGCAAGGGACGAGATATGCGACACGCGAACCAAGTAACTGGTCAAAAGGTTCAACTTCGTTGCCTCTTGGCAAGTCCAATCGAAGGGGAAGCGAATCGACGCACCCGACACTGTCCTTTATACGATACTTTCTTAGAAAACTTAGGAATGAGCTATAGACTAAATGGTCACTTAAACCTACACTTCGTTCTACAATATTTTCTAAAGCTATTACTTCTAATCCATAATGCGATGGTAACGTATACGATCTCCGATATTCGTACGTGATACGAGCATAGACAATAGAAATGAAATAGAAACGCGCTTCTAAATCGAAGAGTGCCGGCATATGCGTTTTCGCGTTGTTTGTAACACGTGATCGTAAATCGTAACCCCGAGGCTGGAGTTCGTTGGTTTATCACGATTGTATCGTGTCCGTCTGCCGACGTGGAGAAAGAAAACCATTAACCGTTATCGAATTCGACATTTAGATTTGTAGGTACTCTGTTCTACATCGTGGATTAACTATTCTTAACATTTAATCATGTCGGACACTGCTGGAAAGGTATTAGTTTATTTATTTCATCGTAAATTTCCTTAATATGTGAATGCGTAATAAATTTTTCATTGAGATTACATTGAGGTCATCTTCGAGTTGCCTTACACGTTTTGTAAGGAATTACGTTACTTTCATCCTATCATAAGAACTCCATAATAAAATCAATAATAAAGATTATGTACTTGGCTAATGAATTATATGGTTAAATAAAATTTAACTATAATTTTGTACATTGTAGGTAATTAATTGCAAAGCTGCTGTAGCATGGAAAGAAAAGCAACCTTTGTCGCTTGAGGAGGTTCAAGTTGCACCACCAAAGGCTCATGAAGTAAGAATAAAAATTGTTGCTGTTGCTTTGTGTCATACAGATGCTTATACCTTAAACGGGTTAGATCCAGAAGGAATCTTTCCATGTATTCTTGGTCATGAAGGCAGTGGTATTGTTGAAAGTATTGGAGAAGGAGTCACCGAATTTCAACCTGGTATTTACAATACGTATTACAATAGATCTTTTTCTCAATAATTTTATTTTTTATTCTGCCAAAGATCAGTGCTGTAGGGGCCAAACATGTAGTATCTAAAGTGTTTATACATTTGTATTTGCAGGTGACCATGTAATCCCATTATACATTCCTCAATGCAAGGATTGTAAATTCTGTAAATCTCCAAAGACAAATTTGTGTAGCAAAATTCGTGAAACGCAAGGGAAGGGGGTAATGCCTGATGGTACTTCCAGGTTTACTTGTAAAGGCCAAACGATTGCCCATTTCATGGGTTGTTCTACTTTCTCTGAATATACAGTGGTGGCAGATATTTCTCTTGCAAAGGTACTTTTCGCTTTATAGGGTGTGCGTGCACGCGTGTATAAAACGTGTGTAATGTATATGCATTCGTGATTTCAGATCGATCCTGCTGCACCGTTTGATAAGGTATGCTTGCTGGGATGTGGAGTATCTACTGGGTATGGTGCTGCCCTTAATACCGCCAAAGTAGAACCTGGAAGCACTTGTGCTATATGGGGGCTGGGCGCAGTCGGGCTAGCAGTTGCATTTGGTTGTAAGAAAGCTGGTGCTGGGCGTATTATTGGAATAGATGTAAATCCAAGTAAATTTGAGAAAGGTAAAATTAGACTGTACAGTAGTGACCACATAAATGACCAGAGTTGTCCCTAGTAATTCTTAGAAGCCAAGCGGCTTCGAACATCGAGCGTGTCGAGTGTAACTTGACGCCGGTCGTTATCGATACATTGTATATGTATATGGTTTCGGGTGCCGGCTATTGTATCTCACTCGCACTTATCCTCTTTCCTTATCTCCGTTCAATTCTGAGAACTAACCATGCTCGCATAAATGACCGTATGTATGTATGGTTCTTCTCGATCAAAAAACATTGCCTATAAACGCTATTTACCATTTTTTTTATAGCCAAAGTTTTTGGGTGCACAGAGTTTGTTAATCCTAAGGATTACGACAAACCCGTTCAACAAGTTTTAATAGAATTGACGGATGGTGGACTAGATTATACTTTCGAATGTGTGGGCAATGTAAACACTATGGTAAGTTTTCTGTTCTCTTAAAAGATAATGTATGGTTATCTGAATTATAAACGATTACAAAAACGTTTAATTCGTGGAATATAATGTTTTATGTTTAGAGAGCTGCGTTGGAATCCTGTCATAAAGGATGGGGTATGTCCGTTATAGTGGGTGTAGCTGCAGCGGGTCAAGAAATTAGTACTCGTCCGTTCCAGCTGGTGACAGGACGAGTTTGGAAGGGAACCGCATTTGGCGGTTGGAAATCCAAGGAAAGCGTACCTAAATTAGTAAAGGAGTACATGTCGAAAACATTGATTCTTGATGAATTCGTTACACACACTCTTCCCTTCGATAAGATTAACGATGGATTTGACTTGTTACACTCGGGAGACTGGTAAGTACTTAACGACGCAATTGTAACTAACGTAAAATATTAATATTATTTTTTTGTAAAAATCTGATTTTCTTCCCTTATAGCTTGCGTACTGTACTCAAATATTAAGAGGGATCGTGTAACGTTGTTTCGTGTCAATTTTTATACAATTTGTATTTTATATGTGCCAACTACTGTTTCTTGTAATACATTTTTCGAATAAAGGTAATATATTTCTTCTTAGCGATAGTTTCGCGTACTTGCGAATAAAGAGGTTCCAAATAACTGCGACGCGCAGATTTCTACAACAATCTTTATTCATAAAGAATTCTTACAGCCACATGCACAATACCAATTTGGTGAAATATCAATAGTAGCTCTGGAATGAAGTAAAAATTCTTTACGTTTCGACCAGGTGCATACCTTACAAAAATCATCACGTTGCGAAGATCATGGACGATGATTTTCCCATTGTATATAATTATGTATATACAATATGCGATACGACGTTTCGATAAAACTATGCATATTTTTTTTTTTTCTTCCAAGTTATGTTCGTTAATCTAGGTGAACGGTGTAATAATAAATTCAGGCGGATTCGAAATTGCGCGCAATGTAGGAAAGAATTTGCGTGAGTTATTTAATTAATCCATCGTAGACGGGGTTTGAAAATTTCTACCAATTCTTATTTATACTCTGACGTTTTAAAATAATGTGGCGTACTATATTGCTCGTTAAAACACAATATATCGTTCTTGGACAGATTACCCGCTGTGTTTTCCTATTCGATATATATCATCGATGATAGTATTCACTGAGGGATATAATAAATCTTGCTGCTCGATAAGAATAAGTACCGAAATTTCGGATATACTCGTGTCTAATTAACGGTAATACACCAGGGATACTGAACGGTCAAAAATTCATAGAAAAATGTGTGTCGAAGTGAGATAGCCTAGGTTTAAAAACTTAACTGGCATGCGTTCATTTTTTTTAAAATACGAATGCATGTACAATTTGCACTGGCTATTCTTACGTAAAGTGTTTTCTAATTGCTATGGCATATTCGCGTAGTCACACCGATCATTTTTTCTACGGATTACATGTTATACTCTATTACCTACGGTGTACCACACACTCTTTAAGTAAAAGTCGTAAGTAAAAATGCTTATAATTACAAGTAAACGCAGACTAATCACGACGTGCCCGTTGAATATCAAAAACGCTCCTTTGTTCGATCCGTACCGTGGATCGGAGAGTAAGCTTCGGTAAACGTTACTTTAACCATAAAATCGGGTTATAATTACCAAATGAGATAAAAAAAAAAAAACAACTTGTAACGCGTATAACATATATCGTATATCCGAAAATATGTTTTATATCGGTGTAAGGAACGAAACCGTCGAGTACGATTCATGACGCGAAATAATGTACAATTTCTTCCATCGTCGTGATTGAACTGCTGCTTAGTAGTTAGCGAGTATGAAATAGGTCATTGTTTTATGCAAGTATATTTTACACTAGACCTCGCAACGCAAGATGGCTACGAGAGAAAAAAAAAAATTTGAGAAGAACAAGTAGAATAGTCCAGCGCGAAGAAAATAAATAAGCGATGAAAATCTATTCGGTTGTACGCAGTAGCGTGTTTCATAAAATGCGGGCATAATTCTGGGACAGAGTTCTGTGTACAAAAATAATGAAGAAAGATTCTGTAGAGACATGTCCTATTTGATCTTGTTTCAGAGATACACCGTTGGTTTTGGTTTTAGGAACTCTGTTTTCAAGCTGAGAGGTAAAATAGCTCGTTCTATTCGGGTATTTGTAACTAATGTTTCATAGCGATTTTTATTATTTTATTAATCGTTCGAAGGCACTTTCATAGTGCTGAATGAATCGTTCCGATTCGTTCTATTGTTGGAAATAGTGCGTGTAAGCTTATCCTTCTAAATCAGTGTGTTCTCTCTCTTGAATTTTCCTCTTATCCAAAAGTACAACAGGCAGGATGGTAAAGTTGAAAGGAATAGGACGAACCATTGGACAACTTTGCCCGTTATTTTTCTAGTTCGAAATTACTTTTTAAACGATGCCTGGATTTTATGAAACACTTTGTATATTTTACCGTGTAACAACGAAGATGTTGCGTAAGGGGGATTCGTTTAAAACTATTCTCGTGTGACACGGGGAGGTTATGCAAATACTTCTGACCTCTACGTCTTCAAGCGTGCACCACTCTAAGAGTGCGTTGACGGGTTTCACTCGTTTTTGCTGACGATCAGCACAAGGTGGGTTTTCTCTCTCAGCCAGCATATTTTTGTCCGTCGTATTATCGTAATCGTAAACTTTAAGAGCGCGGGCACGTGTGTGTGTGTGTGTGTGTGTGTGTGTGTGTGTGTGTGTGTGTGTGTGTGTGTGTGTGTGTGTGGGTGTGTACATATTATATATATATGTATATCCGTCATATATCCAGTCATATGGTGATATATATATACATATATAAATGCTCAGACATTACAATTTGAGACATCGTTAATCTCACGCGATTAAAAATCAATTATATTGAGAATTCTTTTTCTAATTAGTTCATCTTCTCTTTAAAGATATCGTAACTTGTACGCGTCGTGTGGAATTGAGATGAATTTTACCTGATGGAGGATGAGCTTCTCTTGTTCCTATTGCACCGCAATTTTTTTTAATTCCTCGAAACCGTTTCTTCTCGTTCTCTTTTTTTCTAGTTTTGTATACGCATAAATAGTGTATAATTGTATTATTTATAGAACGAGTTGTGCATGGAGGTACCTCGAAGGGCACGTAGGGTAAATAAACGTTCCTGTAGAGGGTGAAGGGCCACTGGTATTCTACCTCTGTGATTTACATCGAACGCATACATCTCTTCAAGGTCTTCGCGCTTAGATCAAGACGTAACATTGCACGGGATCGCTATTGCACGAAGTAGCCCCTTGGTTATTGCACTGTGTTTGACTTTCCTTGTTTCCTGGCTGGAAGATTCTCCGATTCGATGGCTCTTTAACCCGTTTGGCACACAGTTTCCATTTTCGATAGATCGACGATTCGGACATTTTACTTTTTCAGACACTGATGATCAAACAGAAACGTTTATTATTAATTGTTCGTCTGTTTGAAAGGTACGACGAATAACGCGAACGAATAGTATGCCAAATTAGCTCTTAAGAGGTAATTATTCCCGGGTTAATGTTACAACCGGTCGTCGAACAACAACCGTGCTCGGTTGTGATTTCTCATCGCGGCAAAGTGAACGCGATAAAAGTTGCTCCACGTGCAATTTCGATGCCAGGGTATCCGTTGCTAGCACGACTATCGATCGACATGCTTTTTTCGTTGCTCTTCGAACTGATATTAGGCTCGCACGCGCGGTTCGCAGTCTTAGCCGGCCTGATTCACCAAAGACACCTCGAATCACAACGACGACACCCGAAACAAACGGATGACCGGACAAGCTTTCTTATGTTCGTTCGGACCAAGTAAACTTCCTTGTCCGACTGTTCGATATCACGTTCAAGTGCTGCTTCCGGTTACTGCCACCGCCACTGTTGTTGCTGTGTAACAAACTGATCCTAAGAAATCTAAAAATCTAAGGGCTGGTCGGCAGAGCCTTCGAGATCCTGTGCAGAGTCTGTACCGCCGTCTTCGTCGTCGTCCAGGTCCACGCTATTCGTCTTCAGTCCTTCGTTGCTGATCTTGTTTACAATTGCGTCTGAAACATTAACGTTTCGTTGATGGATACCGGCGAACAGATACGAAAACGGTTGCAAGATTAAACGAACGACGCTAATGAGAATAAAGCTCGGAATATTGACGAGTCGCTGGTGTAATTTCTATCGATATTGTTCCATCGCCGAGATATCTTTTAATTTGGCATAGACGAGTAAAATAATTACTCAAGAACTACGTTGCAACTAACGGATGACATTTACCGCAATCTGGCTTGCTGCCGCGTGTTCTGGTACCAGCAAACTCCACGCCATGCGGATCGACGCACCAACAGAGTCCAAGATTACGATGGCACTGAGTACTTCGATAATATCCTCGGGAGTCGCAGACAGGTGCAACGTCGGGGGATGATCGTTTGCGTACGGCGGCACAGGGACGTTCAGCCTTTGAAAAGCATCCGCACCATTCGGTACCGCTCACAAATATGTCTCTGAAAACACGGGAACCAGCGATAGTTGAAGAGAAAGCTTCGTACTAGAAAGAGAGTAGATCATTTTGGGGCGATACGTTATTTGCTTCGACTCCGTAACGTGCAGCTTTTTCGTTCTCGTAGTTTCGTGATTCTATGAAACTATATTGACTTGTTCTCCACATGCTTTCAAGACCTCCATCTAGAATACGATTGCGTGTCTCGATAATTAGATACGAATCAATATTTTACGCATTCTATTTTATGTAACGAAAACGATCGTTAATAAATTATGATTATGATAAGTTTCTGTATTTGTACGCAATTCTTTATTCTTTGAACCCAACAGACATTTATTATTTTCTGCTCTTGTACGCAAAAAGCAATAGACTTGAAATTAAAGTTTCTAGCTACTTGGTCGGAAGGCACGCGTGTATGAGAGAGAGAGAAAGAGAGCGGAGAGTTCGAAAATTGATTCGCGATGTGACAAGTGGAGATTATAAAGGGCAGACAACTCGGATCAGGCACGAAACTCGCTCACCCGTTGGTGTCGCAACCGTCCAGGAACGGTTTCAGACACGGCTCGTTCTGATCGTGCTCGAGTCCGTACAGCTCGGAAAGAGAGAGCCGGCCATCGTTGTCGTTGTCCAAATGTCCGAACATCCACCTGACCTCGGTCTGGCAACCGATAGGGAAGTGACCTGGAAACGGCCGCATGCGAAATATGAATCCCAATGGCCGCCCCGTCGTCGTCTTCGGGCGAACAGAACCGAATGAAATATAAATTTCCCTGGCTCGGAACACCGTGTACACCGGGGGGTAAACCTGCATACTTCGGTATTCTAGCATCTTATTTACTATACGTATACGCGCGTATGTATCGACAAGGGATTCGCGCAAAGCATCATGAATCGTTTTCGATAAATTTTAGTACATAAACGGACGGACAAGTTTATAGAATATTTAGCTGTCCAATATGTTTCGATTATCCGACGAAGAGTTTTCCGATACAGTGACAAACGCGACAACTATAAGGCGAACTATAAAATCGGGCTCGATGAGTTTGCGTAGACTCGAAATTTATAAAAGTTACACCGCGTTATGCTTTTGTACCTTTTGCTTTAGGATGCGAACGGCGATGCTTGGAATCTGCCATCACGACGGAAAACCAGTCCAACAAACGATTTGCCATTGCGGGTTTCGAGGACGGCGGACAATCGGAGTTCCGCGATGACTGAGAGTTATACATTGACTTCAACGGTGACGGCGTCTTTTCTATGATTTCGTTGCTCGTCAAATGTTTGTCGTCGTATTTGCTTCCAGCGGCTAGTGCCTGAAGAAACAAATGAAACGCGTGAGCAACAAATGCGTGAATGCTTCGTCGGTTGGCAATCGCACTATAAAAAACCTTGACATGAAATATTTTGCAAAAAATTACAATACAACGAGGTAGATAATAAGGTGGGTATGTAAGAGGGCTGAAAAACAATTCGGCCGAAACCAATACGTTTTCGTTCGTAGTTTGCCAAGGCGACGAACGTGTTTAAAAGATTTTTATTAATAAGCTGTATTTCCAATTGTCGTTTTAGTTTGGTTCGGGACACGTGCGATTTTAAACGTACTGTCCGTTGAAAGATATGCTTCGATATCGAATCGAGCCGATTTAACCGGTTTACGTTGAATTCTAAGCGCGGAGAAAAATGACTGCATCGATCGAGCCACTTGGAATTTAAATGAAAAGATGGATCAGCCTTTAGTCACGGTATGTAAGTACTCGTGTACGTGGTGGTCGTGTCTTGCGAGGGTTGCAGCCGACCGTAACGATATTACGGCTCCTCGTCGTCTGGCGACGCTTTCCGTCGGATCGATGAGAAAGACGCCTCGTCTGGGCTACTCGAAAATACGAGCCATCGACGTGGGAGTTTTGGTCGACCAATGAGAAGCAGACCGCCGGCATCGAAGGATACTTTTTACGTCCTCGCAACGACCAATACCCCGACTTTCAACCCAACTGCGTGTACGATTTAAATCGTAACTCGGTTATTGTTCTTTTCAGTTGTTTCAAATAATATGTGAGATAAACAGTTGTTAAAACGAGGGACCTGCCTGCTTCCCTGCCTGCCTGCCTGCCAGCCATACCTCTAAGATCTTAGTAGACCTAGTAGATACATGGAATATTGCGATAGCAAAGAGTAAGTTAAGTAAGAGTAAGTAGGTAGGTTTTATCGTAGTTTCTGTTAAATTTTTTACGCGTAGATACGTAAATCTAATCAGAATCGAGTTGGAGAAATAACAATTAGAAGCTCCTGTGCGTGAACGTTTAAATCGAAAAGTTACTCGGTGCACGTTGAGAAATGCTAGTTTTTTCTATGACCGAGTAGGTAATAATTTATATTGTTTGCCGGATTTGCACACGATTAAGCGAAATTGTACGGGTATTCGTATTTAATAATCCCCTGTCGATGATGTAAAATTAGTCCGATAATTACTAGAGAGTTCGGCGATACCGGTGTATCGGTCGATAATTTTCCTCGATGATCTTCCATGGAATCGCGAGCATCCGCAGTCCAGGAAATCCGGCTTATAACCGATGATTGATGCATCGAGTAATCCTTTTCGTTTCGTTTCGAAATCCGGGCCCACACCACGGACCGCGTGCGGCACAGTCCGACGATCAAGCTCGAGGCCAGCAAATTTAACGCGTGCCCTGTGAACATTTAATTAATCGTCCGGCTTTGTCGTTGATGAATGCGCGCGGATGCATCGCTTTTTCAGACGAACCGTAACACGTTAGAGCTTTTAATATAATTCTCGTTGAAAACGTCGACGGAATGCGACTGGCGCGATTATCCGCAAAGCTTTCGGAACAAGCGACAAAGATTGTTCGTATATGTATACTTGGAAATAATCGGCCGTCGGAAACATACGTACATTTGGTTTCGTTGTACGGACGACGCGGTAAAAGCTGTTGTTCCATAAAGGAAAGAATTTTCAAAAGCGTCGTTCACAAAAAGTTTCAATTGATAGAAATGAATAGACAGGCGACATCGATCGACTACGTGCTATGCAGATGTGTATGTTGATTCGGTAAAGTTTCAAGTCGGCGACATCGATCGATGACGATCGTACGGTAAAATTCAATTTCAGGCAAACAGTGTCTCGAAAAAGTTTCAAGGTACGATGTCGTTTGCGGCGCACCCGTTGAAAACTGGCTTTGCCGTGGAGTTAAACGGAACTTTTAACGAGACACCGACTTCCTCCTGAACGTTGTTCGAGATCCGTGCGAAATCAAGTTCGAGACCATTTTCAGAAAGAACAATACAAGCAACGATCAATCCTGGCAACTAAGAGAAAAAACTAACACCATCGAACGATCGATTAGGGAAGACAGGCCCCGCGCCGCAACAATCGTCGGCGCAGTGTTAAGTAATACCGTCGTCCATTTGACTCGAAGCATAAGCTAATGCCTGTTAGCGACGTTGTATGTTGTATGTTGGGGGTGGAAACTATTCCCGCGGAAAGTTATGATTTACCGACACAACACACTAATTTCCAATTCCAGGCGAGGGTGGTAGCTTCCGTGGCAGGGAATTTCAGACAGCTCCCTGTATACGCAACTACCCACGGCCGACGTAGACACGTTCCTCTAGTTCGTAACTTTTATTTATCGATATCCTGTTTGCCCTTCTCCCTTTTTCCTTTATATTTCGTTCACTCGCGCGGTAACCTCCACCTTTCGCTTACCTCTGACCCCCTGACACATATTATACGTACACGCTTTGAGAAATAAATACATATTTGATACGTCGAGCAACTGGTAACGAATGAAATAACCATCTAGACCTTGTGTTTAGAAAGATACACGTTTCATTCGCTTTAAACGACACGACATTTGCGTGTTGGTTTGTAATATTCGATCAAAGTATTTCAAGAGATTAAATTCGTTTTTTAAAAATAAAACAACACGTCCAAGATTTTGGTAGTTTGTTCAACGTTTCTCGTTGTTCCGATAAAACGATCCACGACGATTTATTTCTTTCGAGGCACGAAGGGATTAATGAAAAGACCACGCGGTGGGTTGCGATGTGACGGAAACACGGAAATAGGATAAATTCGTGAGGGCGAACGGGATCAGAGGGTGATCGACTAAATAAATTTAGTTTGTTTTTGATCTGAACAACCAAGAGTCCGAGCACCGAGTTCACCGGCGGTGTTTTATCGAGCGACTCCATGGCTCAGTCCACCTTCAACCTTAAATTACAAGGTCATCGGTTCTATACAACACCTCGTATGTACAGGCATCTCGGACAAGTTGTTACGTCACGAAGAAAAACTAGGTTCGAGCACGATCAACAGAAATGCTTATCGTTTAACTTATACTATAATTCGTAGGTACAACGCACGGTCTTGTTGTTAGAAGATATCGCGTCGTGTTTCGAGACGACTATACATCATAATTACCGCCTAATTGACTAATATTCTCGCCACAGAATATATCGCGCGTAATAACGATCCAGGACGATAGTTGTTACGGTTGTTTATTGGTTTGGTGTAAGCGCGCGTTATTGCGTCATTGCGCCGCTAAATGGATCCCTTGATCCTTCGTTATTACTTGAACCACTTGTCGCCCAAAGTCACTTTTCCAACAACTTTGCAGAGATACAAGGAACTCGACAGTTTAGCTAGATCGCATGCGAGTTATCTGTCAGAAAAATCACTGATCACCGAATCTAATTTGTAAGACGTTGGCCGACCAGCCGCCATGTAGGTACACGTGGCAGTATGTCAAAGGCGAAAGTCTTCTGCACTTTACCACGAATCCCGGCCATCCCCTTACAAATTAACCTCGACCGCCAACAAGTTCCGTCACCATTCGTAGAAACGATTCCATCAAACAGTTGGTAAGAAATTGCCGGACCTACCTTGGCACGTTTGGTGTATTTCAGGTATTGGTAATGATGATTGTCGTAATTGAAATCACGCGGGGTAAGCGTAATATCGCGATTCCGCATCATTTCACCCATCTTGGACTTTTGTCGTTCTATTTGCATTTTCTTGTTGTACGCCCGCAGATCGGCCGCTGAAAAACCCATTTCACAGTCTGTTAATGCGTTATCTATCGTTACACATACATATGTACACATTCTGGGATATCATGAAGCTCGTAACATAGTAACTACTAACAATACTAGGCAAGTAACGAAAAAAAAAGAAAACGTTTACTTGAAAAGAAATGAAAAGTCGAAACAACTGCAAGTTTAAAATCGTCGAAAAATAGAGGAAACGCGAGCAACGAAACGGCAACTCATTAACCGCGTATAAACAAACTGACCGAAATTAGCATTTGCATTTGGTCGCGCCGCGCAGACAGACATTTAAATGATTTTTAAACAAACGCGACAACAAAATTCGATCGTGAACGTTTACACGTCCGTTTTCAAATATTTTAAGCTTCACTACCCACGATGTATTAATCGATCGACGTTTATTTGGACTGTGATTAGCGAGTAACGGTTTGCTTTAGATTCGTTAAAAAAAAAAAAGTAAACAAAAAAGTGCATATAGATATTTCACTTGGTTGGGATCCACGATGTAGCGTAACTCGAGGTCGAACGTGGTTTTCGAATGCGTGGTGACATTACCCAGAAATATTCTACTTTGTTCACCGAATCGATTAGGCTTTTCCTCAAAGCGTAAATTAGCCAAAGTTATCGGGGATTGCAGCGACTTTTAAAAATTACCCAAATAAGTTATGTATTTGTTAAACGGTCGAGGATGATTCTCCTAACATAGGGTTCCTTGAGCTTCGATTATTCTGTCCCCGGTGTGAATTCCACGAGACTGACGCGGTCGCGCGCGGCTTCGTATGCTTCAACAGCGGCATTATTGTTCTAACAGTCAATTATGAATATTCATGGTGGATACGCTTGTCCCCAAGTCCAAGCGGAGAGACGCAAACACGGGTCCATTGTTAAACAGACTACGCGCTGCCGCCTATGAATAAACTAACGAATTAACGCCATGTGTAAAATCAGAAAATGTCTGGGCAAAGTTGAGATTAGGAACGGTTCGTTACCGCAATTAAACGTATCCGCTGACTGACGAATTTCAGACGGTTGAAAAATATCTCGGGATCGTTTTCGTTTGCGAAAAAGAACACGAGGAAAGAGTGGAAGATTGACGAAAAGGGAGGGGAGGGGTCCGGGGTCGATGGAAACCCGTTTTACCGTTCATTCGAACGTTAAATCGAGCCAGTTTTCCGAATAATAAATCAAGTTTCCTTCGACTATATTGATATTTGCTAACGAACGGAGAATCGAGTAAAACAGAAGCGTATCGAGTATTTAAGAAGCGTTTCAAATATTGCAAAGCAAACATTAATTCGATTAGTGTAATTGAGTAGCGTTAGGGTGTGGTAGTAGCAGAGGACAGATTTCCTGTCGACGCGAATCCGCCTGGACTGTCGGACACGATTGTCGCTGGAATCCTATTTACCGGTAACCATTGGTTATCGTCTTCTATGAGCCAATCAGAGCCACAGTGCCGACTCGCGTCTGTCAAAATATTAGAGATTCGGGCCGACAGGATATCTACATATGTATCTCCGTTACGACTCTATCCTTACGCACCATTTAATTAAATTAATAGAAGCACCGTTTCACTCGGAAATATTAACAATCCGATGGCATACACTCTACGGGTTAACTGCAATATTTTCTTCGACAACGGTTGTGCACAGAAATCCATGCATACGTTGAAGAAGATTTTTGGAGATCTTTACCTTTGCATGGGCAGAAACCTTTGCAGGCAATGCTCATCAATGTATGGTGGATACAATTGTGGTATACCAGCCGGCACAACGAACTGTACGTACGATTATCGCTTCCACAAAGGAACGTCGGCTTCACCACAGGACATTCTTGACATCTGCAACAAAAGGGACGAGTTCGCGTCGTTACGTGAAACCGTTCTACGACGAAATGCATATTCGTTCGCGAGTAAACGCATCGACTTTACCATTTCTCTTATTTATACATATTTACTAAACGATACCTATATTAAATACCGATCGCCAGCCACAAACCGTACAATTTAAAATATTTAAACGCGTCGTCTTAACGCTTATCCCGGATTTTAAATATTTTCAATTATTTCATCTTTGATTCCATATTAGTTTGTCAGAACTCTAAACAAGATCTGATAATGTTTAAGTGTTATTAAATTTCCAATAACTATATATTACTTAAGAAGCCAAAGGTATACACATACTTATACGGAGACCAGCTTCGTCTTGATCAAGGAGTTAAACTAGCTTAATTACCGCGTTACTCGGTTTAAATTAATTACACGTTTGCCGACGACCGCAAATTCTCCAAGCACCAGCTACCGGCGGCATTGTGGCCGAATTCACAAGGGGACCCTTCTACGAACGGCAAAGGTTCTTTAGTAGCAGTTTCGCGTTCCTCTAGAACCGCTCATAATTCCTGTTTCGCGATGGTTCGTCCTGCAACTGTTGATTCGCCAGACCGACGACAGAGCCAAGAGTCTAGAATCGTTGAAACGAACCGAACAAAAACGAACGCACACTATCGGCACTGTTATACAACGGGACGCGTAACTCCGGTATACACCAACGATTCTGTCCAAGAGTTTTTCGAAGGCTTGCCCGGAACTTTTGATTTACGCGGACTCGACGGAATTTCATGAATGCGAAATGTAATTCCCCGACTCTCTCGATTTTCCTCGATCCTCGTTCAAACCCTCCTATACAATTTCCAGTGACTCGTGGAAACTTTCGACTTTCGATCGCCCGATTCGGCTATTAAATTACACCGCGGCAAGAGTAAGGAATACGATTTTCTGAAAACGTATATCATTGTAACCGTTTCGCTGGAGCAAAGACCGACGGCAGAGGAATAGTGGGAAATGTATAGTGATCAATTAATGTACTTAGCTCGGATAAAAAAGTAAAAAGTTAATAAAGAGTTTAAGAGGATGGAAAGTTGTTGATGGAATAATTTACGAAACGCATCAACGGTAGGTGGACCGAGGCGAGGCGAGGCGAGGCAAGGCGGTCGAACGAGACGCACAAGCAACAATTTCCATCGAAATGCGAATTAAGCCGGCAGTAGAGGACAGGATTAACGTCCAGCTCATTTCCCCGGGCTATGTACTTGCACGCGGAAACGCATCGGCGTGTAGCAACCTCGATAGACGAATTAGTCTATCGGATTGGATTTCTTGCTGCCCTTTGCTATCCTCTATACGCGCGTATTTCGAGCAACGACGCTCGCCGGGTTGCGGAATTAGGCTGCCCCGAAGCGTTGTGTATCCTCTAACTGGACGCCAAAATGAATGCCGCCGCATGCAATTCCGGCTGCAATAGACTGCGGTCTCGGATGTACTTTGCGGCCGTGCTTCGTATCCCCGCGCTTACACAAGTTAATGCACTGTCGGCTGTTTGATATACACCCGTTATTTGTTAATCAGTCGCGGAGTAACGATGATCAACCAACGTACCAGCTCGTACTTTTTTTTCTCGACGTCCTGGAGAACGGGAACGAGAGAAAATTACGACTCCGTTCCGACGAAACAAGAAATTTAACATCAATGACGTAGCTTGGCCGCGAATTTCGAACGCCGAATGAAATTTTACATGCCGTTTGTTTCAACGATTTGCCAATTCAGCTGCGACGAAGAGAAACCAAGTCGAGAAAAGCAGACGCCGCGACAGCCGCGTCTGCCGCATCGAAGGGAAGACGAAAAAAGGGGGACACAGGGTGAAGATAGAACTCGAGAGCGAAGCTTACTCGGCAATAAAGACGGGTCAGGACCCCTCTTTCCACAAGGGGCTAGAAACTGGCGACAAAATGCTCGTCGGAGCCTCGAAGCTCTTCCATCATCGCATTACCTAGCTGGTTATCGACTAAAGATTCCCCGAGTAGATACTCTTTTCTCCATTTGTCCGCCGCCCATATCTTTCGACTTTTCCTGTCCACGATTTTGCAAATTTATATCACCTTATAAAATATAATATTTATCATGGATAGATGAACAGGCTACATTATAAAAATATGTATATCTATAAATATTCGAATAGTCGTAGATGTGGTTCGGAACAATCCAGGTTTGATGCGTGTCGCTCGTCGGAAGATTGGTTCGCAATTAGACTGTTTCTTGTTCGACGTAATCCTTGTGACAACATTTCGTGTAGAATTTTCAGAAGGGAAGTTTGAAATAGAAGAGAAGCGACCGACCGAACGAACGAACGGACGGACGGACGAGTGAGCGAGTGAGCGAGTGAGAGCAACCGACAGAGAGAAAAAAGAAGCGGAAAGAAGGCGGATGGAAAACCCTCTTTGCTCTGCTCGCTCGTGCAAATTTAAGTAGGAAGAAATGTTTCGCTGGCGACGCTCACCTCTTTTCTCTCGGCCCTTTCTCTCTTCGTTCGTCTTCCGTCTCGAGCTGTTATCCCCGCGGAATATTCTTCCTCCGTGGCGCGCCGCGACTGCTCGAACCTTCCTACATCCTTCCCAGCCTCGAGAGTAACTCCTGTTTGACTTAGCGTCGCCGCTAAAGTAAACGCATGCATCCCCTCTAGTTTTGTCTTTTTCCCCACGGTGTCGTACGAAATTCATTTTTTTACCCTTCGCTCGTATGCGTATTATTATCCTTCTTACCTTTTCAAGCTACCGGAACTATGCGATGTACAACAATGGCATTATACTTGCTCCACGAGACTAAATAATTTTATTCCGAATCTGATAATTAACTGATTCAGACAACGAGACAATTCTTGTTTTTCTGCGTGTTTAAGATACTCAAATCCGCCGCGCCGCACCGGTTCTCGTGCCGCGGAAAACTTTTAAACGAAGCTCATTTATTTTTCTCGTCGTTTCGATGATCGCATTGAAATTTAAGAGGCACGTATCCGTGAAAACGTGACCTATAAAACTAACCTTTTAGTTTATCTCCCGGGAGAGAGAACGCGTTCGATGTGCGGTGAACAGCGAAACCAATAATTCTCGGTTAATGTCTCGTGAAGAACAAAAACAGGCCGCGTCTACTTTTCCCTGCGGGACTCGCTTCGATACTTGCCCCTCGAAACATTTTTTTCATTTTACAATCGTATTCGCGAGTCACGGTGAGAAACGCCACAGAATAACCAATTTAAACCGAATTACTCGACTCACTCGACGGCCGCGCTAACCGGCTATCCGTCGAGAAAATATTTTCGTTAAATAGAATAAATACCCTGATTAAATTACGGTAAGTAACTGTTTGTGGTTCGTGAACAAAATTAAAAGTTATTCCGATATTGGGAACGTTGCAAGCGAGTGCTCGCTAGTCTGTTAGAAGGACCGATACTAAACTGGTAGCTATCGAAACTGTATCAACAAACTCGATAGTTGGCGGACAGTACGGTGATAAAATTTCTTTAAAATTTTTCTAAAAGAATCGCAACTATCTTACAGTACGATGGACGAGTATATTATAGAATGAGTTTCTCTTCAATTTGTAATGCGGGGATGTGGATGAACCGTTAGGCACTGGAATACCGCGTGTCGGTCCACGGATTCCTTAATCCGTTCCCGAGTCATTTAGCTCGACGAAATCCGGGCCCAAATGTGGGCCAAACAAAGCGCGGTAAACAGACCAGACTGATGCTAACAGAGATTATAAGAATCGTGACCAACTCTTGCGGCGTACTGATAAGAATTAAAACTCAATCACGATCGTAATTTGCTGTCCGCGAGCCTGTCTCGTGATGTTTACATTTGGGTCGACTTTCTGTTCGCGAGTCTGGCTCGTGATGTTTTGGTTTGGGCGAAAATATTCATCACGAGTCAGACTCGTTAAAGTACGGGAAGGGGTTAAAGAGATATGCAAAGAAAAACTGGAAAATATATACATATACATATATGTATATGGTACGTGTGTATGTACGTAAGTCCAACGAAATTGTAATAAAATCAGCTGAGCAATCGATACGTCGACTAGCCTGATTTTATACGATTCTACAAAATAGCTGGTTACAATATAAACTTCTCAGTCGGTTAGTGGCAGCATCCTGTATCGATATTTATGGAATTTTTGATAAAATATTACGACCAACGCTGATAAATAGTCAGATCGGAAAATGGCCATTCTACTATAATGTCCAAGGTACTTTAACGAAAGCGACCAACACTTACTTCGGCTCGTCTTGATCCTCGTCATCGTCCTCGGAATCGAAAAAAGCATCGTCGTCCTCCGAGTCGACCGAAGTTTCCGTTCTTATTCGTCGGTTCTGTTGAACTGCCCGGGATTTCGGGATCACTATGTCGCTGAAAAATAGTAACGAACAAATAGGAATACGATGCGAGCGACGTCGCCGACTGACGACCAGGTGAGAAGTTTCGACCAGGATCGTTCTGATCATCCCGAGCACTCACCCTGATTTGTGAAGTTCTTTCTTCGAGACGCAAACGGCTGTGAAAGTGTCCTCGAGTAGGCACAGTTCCTTTTTCTTGCAATTTAGTGGCCGACAAAGTTCGCCTGAAACAAACAAACAAAGAAGAATAAACGGAACAACTAAGCTGATCAAAGTCTCGTTATTCGCAAAACTTGCACCGGTGGCGCATGAAAATTTTACTAGAATAGAGGCATGCATGGTTTCAATCTAACATAAATTTTCATGAAAACTCGAGGTATGGGCACACCATCGCCGGAGAGCAACGACCTTATCCAGGCGGGCGTATTTCCAAATATCACGCAGCGGACAAAGTATTAAGAATTACGTAAAATTAAAATAACGAAAGAGTATTGGTTGAAGAAATGCGAAAACGTTCCGATAGAGGTACGAAAGTGAAAAGTAAATTAGCTCTATCGATGCAACGTTAGATCTCGTAGAGTAATTTTACCAGAGATTGATCGAACAAACCGAGTTTAGAGATCGGAGTTTACTTTCGAGCAGGAAGTAAATTTGAACGTTGCGAAGGTGTTAAAGTTGGCTGTTCGTTAAGAAAACGAGGAAATTTAGTTGCATAGTTGGCAATTTGAATTTTCTCCGAGCGCAATGATTCGTTTCTTTGATGTACCGATGCGGCGAGCCGTCGAGCATTGAATGCCCGGTGCAATTGCATTCGCGTGGAAACAGTCGACAAGCGATATTGGTCGTTTCGAAGCATACCGCATTCGATCGAATTTCTATCTTCTCCATTAACCCCGAATCCGAGCGTGGCCGGTCGAGGCGTCCTTTCGCATCTGGCGTCGCGATCGAGAGAATATCGCGATTGCCCTTTGACGTGTAAAACCGATAAGGAATCGTCCTAACGTTCCACCGCGATTCCCCACCCGTTATCTACGCATCATCGTTCGAAAGATAGTTTATTATACGTTTCTGAACCACGTCGATTCCGCGAATCGTTTGCAATCGAATGTTTCCGAATTCTCAACGTGGTCGCAAATTCCACGACCCAGATTTTCCACGCTAAAAACCATTGCAGCACCTTTGGTGAGCGGACCGAGAGTGGATTTATCGGCGGAAAAAGAGCATAAATTCCCCGGAAACGTAATATCAACGCGTTCTGTCATTTACGCTGAAAAGCCCTGTGAAAAGTATACATTGTGCTTTTTTTTCCGTCGCAATTCTGAACAATATGTTTCCACGTTCGTCCGTTTAATATACACAATGTTGCGTTGTGCCAAATTCCATAAATACATATTCGGCTCCGCCAGACACGAATGTTATCCAGAAATAAATACGTTCGTTCCGTTGATCTCGGTTAATTAACCGATTCCTTCTGCTATACTGAAAATCTATAAATCTATAAATGATTCTCTTTTTTTTCAACAACAATTTACTTCATTCTTAAAATCAGATTACACCCGATTGAAAATCGTACTAAAACATTGCATTGTCGGGTTTCAAAACTCTGTGCACGTTTAATATTTCCTATGGTTTTCTTCGTAAAAAAAAACTGTCTATAATTCGTACGATTCGTATTACGTTCTAAAAGAAAAGGAAAGAGAAAAGGGGAAAAGGGGAAAAGAAGAAAATTCGTTCGTACGTAACGACCGTGCGTTCGCGTTAAATTGAATCGCCGGACGAAAGAGGGAGGGAATCGTCGCGTCGGTACGTTGGCCGCAATTACTTTGCCCCCTTTCAGCATAAATAACCGCGGAAGCCTGTCGGTGATTCGAGGGTGGTCATAATAATAGCTGTGGGTTAACCCTTTGTACTGCGCTCTGACTACCTGACCAGACGCGTTATACATATTCCTCCCGATGATGCGACGCTGCCTGGTAAAAATTACGATCGCTGTAACAAGCGTCCCGCGTGTACAAGCGTGACCACTGACAGTTCCGTGATTATTTCTGCATGGATAATCGATTTTACGTACCTGCTATTGTTATTATACGTGGCCGTTTGTATACATACAGGTAACGTTACGTTATACAGATTAAATAATGAATGAAGCTTAAAAATGAATTTCCCTTTGATCGAGTAACCTGTTTTAGTGTCGCTTGTTCGCAATTCAGGCGTACACCGTACTTGTGAATAAAAATGTTCAACAACAACAACAACCACAATAATAATAGGATATAATAGAATCGATTCCCATCCTGTATGCAGGATATTCTATATGCACCGTGTAGGTACGTGATTCATGATAGCTCATCGGTATCATTCACCGTGTGCAGCTCCTTCACCGCCTCGAACAAAGCTGCGCGTTATTGTAGCGATAGGTTATCGCTATTCCACGTTGTTTGGCCACGTTATCGAGCATCTTCGCCATTAGCGTCATCGATCATACAATCCCCGAAATGCATGGTCGATCGTCGAGGTATATCACGATTCGAGTGCGTCTAATTCATGCAGAAGTGTGCGCCTACTTTGGATGCATTGTAAATTGTACGTCGTAATTGTCACTGGTATAATATATGTACGTTGTAATCAATATCGCAATGCCGTTTCGAACCGATCGGAATGGCTAGAAGGATGATGGTACACGATGGTGGTGTATGGGTCACCGTGTATTTCACGCTAAGATAGACCAATAATTTATAGGGTTAATAGGCTTTCGAGGGTGTAATTTAAGGGGGCAGTCGAGCTTCCGAATTTCGAATTTCGCGAAACATTTGCTGATGAAATTCGAACGATGCAACCAACAGTCCCATCGAATTCGACTGGACTACGAACGAATCGAGAAAACTTTCCGACAGAGGATAATTTGTTCGCTGGAAGTTTGCGTATCTCTTGGTAAGAGGACAGCAGGGAATAATAACGCGAGCTGACAGTTTTCGCGTTAGGTTTCACGCCAAGCGAGCGAATTGGATCCGTGTCGCTCTGACGATTTTTAAGACACGTCCGATATCTGACAGGGTTAGCGTACAGAAGGCAGGGTGTATCGCGTACTCGATCACGAATAACACGATTATTTTCGGTTTCAGTGGACCGATTCAAATTATTTTTGCTTTTGTTTTTTTGTATGTCTAAATTATTATCATCGATTAAAATAGTATTACAGCACCGTGTAGTAGAGAGTACTGTAACGTATTCGTCACTATTAATTTTTAAACAACGAAAATTATGTAGGTAATTAGAGTACTTTTAATACGGCAACTTACTATTCGGGTCGTGTATCCATCTTTTCTTATCGCCCACTTTCATTATCCGCGTGTCATCCTGCAACAAAAACACGAATTTCCTGTTGAATTATCAAACTAGAATTAGACAAGAAGCTCTTGTTCCATGTTATTGTTCTGGTCTTGATTATACTCATTGATACATATTTTAAAACATCTTTCCAAGATGATTATGTAACCGAATGAATTTTTAGGACATTTCTTTTGCAACCGTACACGATAAGCATTATACTTGCGATAGAATCGGTGAAGCCATTAAAAGACTCGGTGATGCACGTGTCAGGTTACAGAGACATATCAAATTATGACCACGAAGGAATTATTTGACCGATCTGTTACTAAAGAAAGATAAAAAATCGACTGAATTTTGTTAGAAAGACATCGAGTCAAGAAAAATAACGAAAAGCAAAAGCTGGCAAGGATGGATCTCGTTTCGCTCGATGGAAACGGACGCGAACCGATTTTCCCCCGATAGACATACATATTCCGAAGAGAACGCGGCATCGAAGGTTACAACCTGTCACGAAATTCATGCTCGAGGCTCGTTTTGCGGCAAAATAGTCATTGTCAGACGGCGCAGCAGCAACCTTAAACGCGATCGCACGACCGCGCGGAATCGTGACGTGATGAACGATCGCTCGTCACGTGCATAAAATTCAGGGTTGCACGGTTAAAAAGAGCGGAGGAACGGAGAACAGCTTCAAGTTCAGGCCGAGGTCATCGTGACCGACAACGTAGGTGCAGGTAACAACGGGTACCTTACTAGACGAGAAGGCGAAGGGTGCGCAGCTCGCGTGATAGTTCACGTGCCAGTTTTCAACGATTCGAGGATAATATCGAAAATACCTATGGAGATACTGGCTAAAATCTCTACTATCGATCGCGTTTCAGTTTTAAACTGGCGAGTAGTCGAGCGACTTACGACTCGTTTCGTGAACGGTCAAATGACCGTATCGCGTAATTTCACGTGCCCCCGTATACTTGGATCTACGAGACATTTTTACCGGCCTGATAAACGATATGGATCCGTTTATTCGGCCTCTAGCCCGGCGAAGCGTTCTTCCATCGGTCTCGTCGATACGAGTTCCTTTTCTCAGACATTGCATGTTTCTCGACTTTATCATTGTCAAATTGGACCGGTGGTGAGCGACTGCCACGAGCTGTCGAATATCGTTGTCAATTATTGTCACTAAAAATGGTTGCGCGGGTCTCGTTTTTACTTAGTTTCCTCGAATCGAAATTCGAGCGTCGTCGCGCGAGAACTAAACCCCGAAGAAAGGGCGTGCGCAGGCGCGAACTAGGCCACGAACTTGGGCAATTAAGCAACCTTTAGTTGCTGCCGCCGCAGTTACTTGTTTCGAACTTGGATTCTGAACCGCAAACGCGCAATTTTCTTCCGCAGGCAAACAGCTACTTCACGGAATAAAATTTCCAGTAAATATTCCTGCCGCGTGATAGACAAAATTCATAACGTTCGAAAAGGTGGTCATTTCCTTGCATCGTTGGAAACAATGGGAACGCGTTAAGCGAACTTTTTACCACTATGTTTTGAAATCGTTCGACATGGTACCAAAGACACCTCGTGTAACTTTTACAGCAATCGATCGCACAGTAAATTAAGAAATTCGTAAATTCTCCGAAATCGATGCAGCAGAAGAGGCATGCCCAGATATACCTATGTATGTATATGCATGTGCATTAAAGAATGAAACGTCGTGACCTAGTTCCGTCTGGTGCGCGCATCTCGCAGAGATCCGAATCGATCGAGCTAAATCTGATCGTTCGATATCGGCCTGACTATGAATTCCAAGAAGGGAGAGAGAATTTAGATTAATCGGTTGCATACCCAACGAACGAACGTCCTCTCGGAGGAAGGGAGAACAGGAGTTTTGTGTCTGTAATAGTTTTGAAACGTAGCCAAAGCCTTAACCGTCACCTACAATCGGCCGGATACTCTGACTAGTATACCTGCATCCCCGCCGAGACTTTACTTTTTCCAAAACTATCCGATGGGACTATATCCGTGGTGATGTCCACGGGTGAAGCCCTTAGTAGTTTGCGTTCAAGGCGATTCAATGATATTCTAGGTGGAAAAAAAACAACTAAATCTTCTCTTCCGGCGATACAAGAATCAACGATGAATAAGGAATTTGGAAAGAAAGTATGTAAATGGATCGAGCGTTCGTCGAATAGAATAAGAGTCGAGGAGAGATTTAATTCGACAGATAGGTAGATATTTATCAAACTATCGTACGGGTGTTGCATCGATTTTATCGAACCCTTTCGCGCGAACGAATGCACGTTCGACTTGCTTTCAACGTTCAAAGATCTTTGCCTACTTTGTATACGCCGCGGCGCGGCGCGACGCAGCGTGGCGTCTAGAAATAGCTCTTTACGTCCCTGTGGGCATCTGATTAAATAGAAAAAAAATGTGACTTAACCTGTCGGACTCGACCTGACGTAATACTGACGTAATATACCGTGGATCAAACAGAAAATAAATCGTACGGGAAAGATTCGAAGAACGTCGAGTATTTTTTAACTTAGCTCGAACAAATTATCATCAAGTTTCATGACGTAGAGCGCAAGTAAAAAAAATTGTTTTTGCGTCCGATCGTTTTTAAGAAAATGGAATTTCGTCGACGAAGAAAAGGAGGAACTAGAAGAAAATTAAATCTCGATCGTCTTATTTTCCTGCGGCGAAAACAAGGGTGCAGGGGATTTTTCGGTCGCCGTTGTTCCTTTCCCACGATACTTGGAAGAAAATTGAGTTTCCCGCGTCTTTAAACATCCAAGGCCTCCTTTTATGACTCTTCCTCGAAGAATTTTCTCGCGAACAATCGGAAAGGTACATACCACGAAAGTTATTCTTTTGCGATTTAAAAGTTCTTTACCAAGGCTGGCAGAAAATATGACAAATCGAACAAAGTTCAATTATGTTTAAAAACCCCTCAAAACGATTGCCTCCAAGTCTTGTTTGTATCTCTGCAATTCTCTCTTCGAGACTGCATTCAACAATTCTCGATAGAAAAAAATTTATATCAATAACACGCTTATGAATTTTATGACACCGGTCATTAATCGGCCTGCAAACGCACGGCGGCCACCGTTAAAATAATGTGTTCGCGACCGATATTGTTTTCGCTGGAACGGAAACTGGGTCAACCACGGTCGAACGATAAAGAAATTAACCGGTAGAAAATTAATACGAACGAAGGAATCGCGTGTAACGCTCACACTCCCTCGAAACTCGTGGATTACGGACGGCGAAACGGGGCTAGCTAGGCGAGTTCATTATTCAGGGGGCTAAATACTTTTATTAGAATTTTAGATTTATATTGGTAGAAAAGAACCAAGAAGCAGAACAGTCTCGTTGAATGCTGAATACTGCACCGCTAACGAATACGCGTCTTTCTATTATAGCGATTCGAAGATAAGTGTAAAGATATCGACGAGACAGAAACAGGAAAGAAGAACGGAATAGAGGGAAAATTGAAAGGAACGAGAAGAAAGAAATTAGGTGGAGCTCCGCGGCCGCAAAGATAAAATGCGGGTTTCTCGACAAGTTAATTGCGTCGGAACGAGCTAATGTACTGGATGCACATTATCCATAATTTACACGTACCTCGCGCTACCGCGAGGTTAACTGATGTAAATGCTTGGTTATAATTTTCGCCTCGCCACGCCTTGAAAGATCATGTTTATTAATAGGTTTGTGCCGACTGTTTATCCCTTTCGAAACTAGAAACGACCAGAAAAATGCATCGCTGTAACTTTACGTTTAAATTACCTTGAAAATACAGATTAAAAAATACTCGAGCAACATAAACGATTAACGATTCGAGCATCGAGGACTCTGAATCTGTTGATCCGGAGCCTCGAGGTGAGAAAATGTCTCGGGTATGTCTCGGTCGTTTCTTCAACGCGAGAATCGACAACACGTAAATTCTTTACGCGATCGATCATCGTTGATCGAAAATTAAACGATATAGAAAATAAGAAAATTGAAAAGAAATGAAAGCTTTTGAAATCCCGAGGTACGCGACGAGCCGCGAGAGCGAGTCAGCCGATTGTCAATTAAGAGCGAAAGCCGTTGTTATTTTAGCAGAATTGGAAAATCGATCGAAACCGGAGTCTGACACCACGTTCGCCGTCGACAACCCCTATTATAATAATGTGACACTTTGTCACGTTTTATTTTTACGCGTACCAAGAATCGAAGGTGACCGATACCGCCGATCCATCCCCGATAATGGCGATAAAAGTTGTTCCGTCCGTATCGTTCGGTTGTAAAAGTTTCGGGGCACCTGGGCTCGAAAAGCAGTTTCGCCGATGCGAAACGCGACCTACTTGGCGACAAATCGCAATAATCTGATTCTCGATGGATGAATTTAACGGACCAAGTAGTTGTAGGGCAAATGGATCCGTATCTCTCTATTGTTGTAAACGTGGACGCGTACGGGAATTATTCTATTAAAAATCGTTTCGAATCGCGCGAGGCTACAACGTGTTAATTGTTCGGTTCGCGATCGGTGGACACGCAAGTACGCGATGATGATAAAGCGACCACCACGGTGTGCCTCGGTACACGTAACTCTCCGCCATGCCAAGCTAAAATACACCTGCACGCTATGCTTTATCGCATACCTCTTCTCGACGACCAAGGAACGCCGACTATGTTTTATGCTCCGCCACAGATGTTGCACACGCGCGTACCGGAATGCGATCTGAAATTCGACGATGTTTCCATCTAGTCCCAAGGGATGAAAAACATGCTTCGTTTATTCCGAATCCTTTACATCGCAACGATCTTAAATATGAGAGATAAACGTTATCCACGCAAACTGTAAAGACACACAGTAGCCACGAAGCGTGCGTTCATCGTCTACAATTGCTGCAACGAATCTGAGACATGTTTTACGGTTCCGAGTACGCGTCGCGCTTGAAAACTGCACGTACATGGTACGTGCACACCTTTCACAGAGGCGTACTTCGGGATTCTGTAAATAAGAACGGACCAAACTCGGATCGATCGACCTCTCGATAGTGAAATATGAAACGGTGTTACGCCTCAACGATCTACGTGTTCCTCGACGCACCGTGCTCTCCTCCCTATTAAACATGTATGTATAGACGACGATTTATAGACTATTTGAAAGGAATAAAGCACTTTGTTCGCGACGCAAAATTTTATTCGTTTCTATATCTTCTTGGCATCGTTTCGAAACCAAAGTTCACGCTGCTACTTGCAATTAAAAAGAAAAGAAAATAAAAGCGTTAGGACGTTCAATTCGGTTGATCCGTTTGCACGGGAACAGAAAAGATGCACGAAGGGCGTTGGATATATTTTCCACAGGGATACGCACCTGCCTATGTGAATCGCCTGCGGTGGTTTTGCCCCGCGTCGTGTCGGAACGCTGAAAATACGTGTGTTTTCCTGGGACAAATCAATTCTCGATAGTCACCACCAGGCCGCACCGAGCTAAACTCATCCGGAAATGGAGGGCCTTCGCCGCGGCGATTTTCCGTCTCGATTGCACTCTGCCAAATGGAAATACCTCTTTCCTCCCTTGTCGCCGTTACCTTCTCCCTTTTCCCTTTTAGGTCACCGACACGAGACTGTATGCCTCTGCACGGCTACACACTGCCAACCGACCTACATCAATTTGCCTATGCGACATCAAAAACAGTGACGCACCAACAGTGCCTCGCTAGTTCTCCAATCGACGCATAATATATGTATTTTCATTTCTTTCGTTACGGTACTAGAATCGAAATCTTTTCCAACGTTCCCTGAAAATCTCCCTAAACACACGGCTGCTACCTTCACCCTACAGTTATATTTTTGTCACGATGAAACTTTCCTCGTTGAATCATTATTACACGATATTCAACGAGATATAACCATAGTTTTGGAAACAAAGGTAGTCTCAAGGGGCAAAGTTACCGATTCATCGAATACGAAATTACCGCATAATAGGTCGATGCACCGTCGAAAGCAAACAGGCTGCACCCTCTGTCGATGTTTTCGATCGATGCATCTGCTTGAAAATTGAAGTGCTTCTAATTACTCGCCGTAAAGTCTATCTTGGTGCAATAATCGTTCCAAATATAACTTTGAAATCTCTTCAGCCTATCGATGGATCGGTTTGCGGCTGATCGAACGATAGTTTCACAGTTTAAAATGATGATTAATAAAACTGAGAAAATCGCTACGATCGAGATTTTTATCAAAACAAGATACCTTCGTCGTATAGCGAGAAATTGTCAACAGACTTTGATACCACTATTGTACCAATTTCTGGCGAAACTTTTCAGCAATAAACAACAACCGATCGCTGTAACGAACTTAGGGGCATACGTGCACACGTATGCACGAAGCTATATTTTCACCTTTGCTCCCTACAATTTCGCAATTCCGTTCTAGCAAACCCATTTATATCGGCCTGTCGATATCCGGATCGTAGCTTCTAACCGCGCTTGCGATTAGAAAGGGAGAACCAGCGTCGTTACCGAATTCTCCATGTAGATAGACATTCTTGTCCCAGACGTCTGTGCCTGTTACAACAAGACCGTGCGGCGTCTGTATGTACGGAAGGATCGATCGTCTTCTTATTGGACACGATTCTCTCGCGTTCAACGAATCCACTTTGGACCTTTCCAAAAGGTTAAGGTAACAATTACCTTATAGCATAATAATCTAGTCTCGTAGATTTCGTATAGCTTTAAGGTTTTTTTTTTTTCTTTAATTACAATGATAAGGTATCTGTGTGTCGAACGTCCAAGACGTTCTGCTCGAAATCTGCGCCAAGTGGCCCGTTTAAATTTCATCCACGTCGTTCGTTTGTACTGTTCGCAAAACGGGATCGAGTCTCTTTGATTACTCCTGGGATTTCCGTGAATTCTGGATTTCACTACGCTATCTACCCCCGCGGTTCACTCATACTCGGCGATTTTTCATTTATTGTACAGTACGCTTTGATGTTACACGAGTTTCCAAGATCCCCAAGATATACGCGTCAAAGCGAAAACATGATTCAACATGAAGAAACAAAAAAAAAAAGAAATTAAGTAAATAGAATAGTTGTATTGAATACGTAGGCGCGTATACGTAGACATCGCGGTGCGTTTAATGCAAAAAGAGAGGCAAAGTGGTCGGGAAGAGTAGACAGGTAGGTACAAGTAGGGCGAGCACAAGTAGTATTCCGAGCCAGGTCGGACTACCTATTACCAGAACAAACGGGAAGACCAGCTTCCACTGGGAAGATAAGAAGCATCCGACGACGGGAATGAGGATGATAACGACTTCCATCCTAACCCCCTTGGTCCACACCATTCCCCCACTATCCGTACGAGCTAGTTTCGCTATTAGTCGAATAATCGGACTGTAAAACGCGCTTTCCTGCAATCCTATTCTTTCGACGATCGAACGTTATTAAGGTGAACGGTTACTATGAATCGAGAGAAACGGTAGCTTTCCTCGGTTCCGTTGCAAGCACGTAGTCAATAGTAATTAATCAAAACTACACGATATCGCCTTTATCGATGAAAAGAAAAGAATTTACAATTCTACTTTCGGGGGAAAAGTTTTAATCGTTCGCGTAGATGATTCTTCAAATAATGTTAAATCGAACCGTGTTTTATCGCGTCGCCGAATCATGAGAAAAACTATACCATTAATTTTCTATCGTTCGCTCATATTCGACCCCTTTAAGAAAAAGATAAGTATAAGCGACAACATTGAAGATGTAGGACACGCTATTAGGCGAGCAAACGAAGGCATCGGGTTCCAGCAGAACATAGAAAGCACTAAAGGGACGCTGTCAGCGAGTGTCCCGGATATTCTTAATCTCTCGCGACCCGAAAACAGTCGTCTCTCGACTCAACGACATTTTCTACGAACAACACACACACTTTTCCTTAAAACGTCCTGCAATTAGAATGATTAAAATGTCGTTCGATGGTTAACGTCGAGAAAGATCGTCGGGAACCGGAATGGAATCGCTGTTGGTGCGAAAAATTAAACTGCCGAGCAGAGTCGGCGAGATATCGAATCAAGATTCCGCTTCGAAGGAGGAAGTAGTAATTCGAAGAACGCGTAGGTAGAAACCCGATCCGGTGAAACAAGGGAAGAAGAACGGAACCGAAATACGGAAACAATTGACGAGGATCGAGGCCCTATCGACGACTGCGGGAAACCAAACAACAATCGGAAACCGTAACAACGGCAACCAAACACGCGCAAAAAGAATTTTCTAACGGATCGGAGAGCAGTTTAAACCGAAATGTTCCAAGCATTCGCGAATCCCAAGCTTCTATAAAATTTACTAAAACGCTCGTGCTCGCGCTCGTAACTCTATATTTTCAATACGGTTTTCAATAATAATTTTACAATACGGTTGTTTCAAACGTCTCCGTTTGGCCGTACGTCGGGTCCATGAATTTCGTGAAGAATGTTGTCGAGAGTAATCGTTCATTGGCCTACTTGCTCTCTACCTTCCACTCTCTCTTCTTACCTGGCTTGTTTCTCCGCGCAGAAGACACGGATGGAAAGGAACGGGTAAACTTCCATCGATATTGTTCTCGATTTTACTTTGGGCCGAGCCAGTCGACTTGGCTCGACGTTTCTGCCGTTTAATAAATAAATAACGAGACACCGAGCCGACGAGCTATTCGTTCGCGTCCCCTTAATGCGGTTCGAGCATCAAGCAAAGTGCTGCAACGAACGAGACCGTAAAAAATTTCTGCGCTAGAAATGTACGAATCTACCACTATGATCCGGAGATAGCAACAACTTAATTTCCTCCAGGTCGCGCGAGTAAACGCTCACAATTATTATAGTCCTCTCGACGCTCTCTGTACCATCGAAAAAGAGTAGGTACATACTTGAACGAATAAATCTTGACTCTTTTCTATCTCGTTCGAGTCAGAGCAACTCGATCAGAGACCAGACTCGAAACATCAATTACAGAGACAGTCGAGAAATTAATTTCATTATGGTGGGGTGTCGCGTCGATTTGGTAAAGGAAACCTTTGAGCTTTTTGCGCTGAGACCGTTCTTCTCTCAACGTTGAAAATGTCAATTTCCAACGTGAGTTTTGATCTTCGTTCTGCTCGAACTTTACAGTCCACGCCACCCCACGCCACCCTACGCCACCCTACGCCACCCTACGCCACGCGGCGGTTCCTCTTCGTGCTTAGACATCGAGGCGCTCGCGTTTCGAGCTAATCCCGCTTCAGAGAGCACGAGACGATAATTCCGAGCGTAGCTCGAGCACCGGAGACACGAAAACCTGATTTACACGAAATTACAAGTGGGAATAACGTTCCCGCTTGTGGGTAAGCGAGATAACTCGACCAAGGAACGTTTCACACAATTTTGCCAGTACCCGAAATCTATTAAACGGTATACAATTCCGACTCGATCGACAAGTTTTATTTCACAAGAGTTCATTTATTCGATGCTTCTTCCCGCGATGCTCCCGATTCATGCAGACGGTCGCCTTTTAATTTTTACCGACATCCCCATAGAAATATTATCGTGGCTTGATGGACAGTAGTGGCGGAGTTTGGCTGACGGGAGACTGGCTAATCAATCAGTGTCATCGACATGCTGGAATTACTGACGAATGTCGGCAGAAGAGTAGAGAGGAGAGTGTGGGCCGTGTACTTAGATGGGTGTATATGCGTTTAATGTCGATAAAACCATTCAACAATCGCAGAGATTATTTTTTGGCTCGAACGTGTTAGCCTTACTTTCGTGCGTCGCGCAGCTTGTGGCTGAATAAAGTTCTGATACATTGGTCCGGCCACCGGCCAATTGGCCGAGCCGAGCCGATCCATTATCGGGAAACTCTCCTTTCGGACGCGGCCTTGTGAAAGGGCACGATAAAACCCTTTTGCCGACACACGGAAAATAGGGTTTTAGCTTTGCGACGGCCAGAAAACGTTGCCCCGTTGAATTCCATCGGAGAGGCCGGTACCGGGATTCGATTTCGCCGTTGAAATCAGCTTTTATAGTCTGAAAGCAGCGCCTACCAGGCGACCTGCTACAATCTACAAATCGAACCGAGTTCCTCGTGTTTTCAGAACCACGACGATATCGTTTCTCACCATCGCTTCACGGTAACTCTGTCGATTTTTATCCTTTTTACGAGTCGTTCGCCGGTCGAACGAACCGGTACATTTAACAGACGGCGAATCGAGAATTTCCCATATTTGAAACTTATGTAGATTCTAAGGATTACCAAGGATACCAAGTATTGTCTGTGGGGTGGAAAGGTTTAAATCTGATACACCGACGATGCTTCCCGTCACGAATCTACCGATGTCCCTAGTTGAAAATTACCAAGCTTCGTTTCCTTTAACGTGCAACTTTATTACCAAAAGACTATACCAAAGACAAAAACGAAACAATAAGGATATTGAATGTCGACGGAGCGAAACTTTTAATTCTGCACGAGTTCCGATAATTCCATAAATTCCTCTGCACGTCGGCCTCGAAACAGGTGTGGTTTCACGGTTTTCTTTTTCTGCGTGTCGGAACAATCGCGGAACGCGACCCTCCTGAAATTCTTATGCGCGTTGGGAAGCCAAAAGGTGGCTTAATGAATATTGGAATATCTCGTTGCGACCCGCGTGGATAGCAGCTGGCCGTGAGTGCCGGGAATACATTCATTCGGGACGAGCCCCATCATTTATTCGTTATTCTTTGAAAAAAAGCTACCAACGTAGTTGCACAACTTTGTAATTAAGTAATTAAATAATTTTCTTAACTAGAAAATAATCCATAAAACGGACCTGAAGATACTATTAGGTTTCAAAAGACGTTGTTGTGGGATCTTGCTCCTGTTCCCGTCACTCGTGACCAATGCCAACTCGTGGTCGGTTAATTCGGCAAAGAGTAAGAGGAAAAAATAAGACGGACGACTGTCTGACGTTTCTCTCGTTACACGGGGCAACGAAGGATCCCAAGTACAGATTTGTGTACATTCGTTGCACAAGAGAGACACGCACGTAGTGAATGAAAGGGAGTTGAAACGATGGAGGAGGTTTTCCGCGAATCGATAACGAGAACGGAGCCTCCGGAGCACTCCGAAGAGTC